TACTTTACTAAGGTCCTTACAACATTCAGATCCACAGAGTGCTGGGTGACAGGATTTTAGGATTTTGAGAGTTTCATGATACAAATGAAGGAAAACAGTGTATTATTTGAATGACAGACACAAAAACTGGCAGATGTGTTACAGTATTTTAAGTAACAAAAATCTTGAGTTTCTCCCCCCACACCGTTTTAACGGTCAGATAGATTTCCAGTTTGTGAAACCCACTTACCCCTTATCTCTACACCCCCATACAGCATCATCAATCACTGTAGAGATAAAACACAGTGAAAGGTATTTCTAAATACCCTATCTAAAGTGAGTGCAGGATAATACTATGCTGTAAAATACCTCTGTGATTAGCCAAGATTTCAAGTCACTTTTTTTATTGGGTGAGCTACTTGAACACAAGTGTATTGGGGAAACTAACACTTCACTTCTTACATGCACTAATTCCAACCACAGAAAATACAGAGGTAATAAACCAGGTTGTGATGGAAATACCAAACAGAAGCCAATTACAGCAAAGTAACTCAGAAATAACGTGTCATAAAGCATACAGGTTAAAAAAACACAAGAAAACACCAAAACCTATTACAGTACTGAAAGAGCTTTGCCTTTGATTACTCCAATAACCTTGGCTGAGTTACGGCATTACTACTCCTTCTATTATTAAGGCACGTTATCCAGATTTCCCCTCTCAGCCAGTAAGAGAGATTCACAAGAAAGTTAAATTTGGGTGTGTTAAGACAAGTGTATTCAACATACTTACTGACTCAAACAGTTAACTGACAACTGAGTATAACCTGTCACACACACATTCCTTGAATGATAACTGTATCAAACAAAACCTAGAAGATACACAGACCTCACAAAACCTAAAGTTATCAGGCTGTGAACAACTGAGAGGCAACTCAAGGAGGAAGATGGGAACAGGGAGGAAGCAACTTGAGCTGGTTGTTACTCAATTAAGTTAACGTTCCTGTATTAGGAATCTGAACTAATCTGTATTAGTTTCCTGATCACCTGTATTCTACCCACCCCCCCACCCCCCACTCAACCTGTAGAGTCCAGTTAGTCATAAAAATTCTATACAAACAATAATTAAAAAAAAAAAACCACAACAAAACATGTTAAGTGCATGCAGAACTTAAACTGGGAATAATTGCTTCTAGGATCTGCAAAACAGCTTGAGCCAATCGTGAATGAAGGGCTGAAATCTGCACCACAATGTCAGAGAGTTGCTACAAAAACCAGGTATCATGAGGAGTGGTCAAGATAACTGGAACAAGGAAGAGACAAACAAGATACTCAGCAATACTAACACAGGGACCTTCTGGCAGAGGTGAAACAATGAAGAAGTAAAACTTTTCTTTAGTTGTTTTTAATCACCTGAACAGCCCAGAATTAAGCAGAATTAAAAGCCTTTCTGTACCCTCAAAATGTATTTGTAAGTAAATAACAGATACGAGTAAACTTTTAAAAGCATTTCCCCTGTCAGGTTTTGCTCTGCACAAATTAAAAGACCAATAACTAAGAAAGTTATAATTGTGTTTTATTTATTCACAAGATGAAAAAAGTCCTACTACATAAATCTTCATACAATATCAATATGCAGGATATATAGTTTCATTAACATTAAATATGTACACACTCACTCAATTAGCATGCCTAGAAATAATTACCCAATATAAAAATAAAGCAACCCTGATGCCTTTCCACTGCTATGGATAAGCCAGCCACCAAAGCAAGCAGAGGTATGTGACACCATACAAGTGTCTTACAAACGATAAAGTTTTCAGATGCTTCACTTTCCTACCATGTGCATATCAAGCAATACACCTTTTATTTCTGCAATCTTGAAATTCAAAGGCAAGATATATTTCTTCACTGTAATTTAATGAAACTTACTTGGAAATAATTTTGACTTTTTTTTTAAAGACAAAGTCCATCAGTGTTACAATATATTTCAATAATACAACAATAACCCTGAGAGGACGCAGTGTATTAAACTGCTCTGAAGTAAAATTCATACTATCCAGTGCAACATCACACAAAAAGCAGCACATGAGTTAACCTTGGGGATAAACAACCTTGAATGTCCGTATGTGAGAGAAAACAAGGTATTACAAAAGAAAAAAGAATATAAGTATACTTTCATTAAATCATTTTGGCTTATAAAAAAACAGTTGGAAAAGCACTGCTATCAAGAAGAAAAACCCTCACAGGATTTTTTAAGAAATACACACCTAAGTTGCTTTCAACTATCCACAAACTATCACTGGTTTTGTGATATACAGTCTGAGTTGGCACAATACGTCATTTTTTTCTTAAATCCTTTTAGGGCTGACCAACTTTTCCGTAAGAAGAAGTATGTTTTGTCCTGAAAACTAAAGTATTCAGTATTTCAATCTCTAAGAATATATATTAAGCAAATTTCACTAGGCAGCAAAGAAGAAGATGGGAGATACAATACTAAGCAGCTTGTCCTTCAAATGCTATTTAGTCATTACTGTTACTACAGATGGTGGCAGCAATAATGCCTATATTTTGGTCACTCTCCCCAACAAAAAGATTCCTACAGTGTCTTCTCAGGCTGTAGCATCTCTACTGTTTGCTGCATGCCTTTAACTTTTAGCAAAGGGATACACTTGAACTCCGCAAATATTATTTGCTTGTGCCACAGAATTTTGCTCCTTTTTGCATAAACCTTATGAATAAATAATTAAATAACAGTCTCTTCCCTAGTAGTCAAGAGATTCAAATACCTTTCCTTACTGCAGGCTCATTTATTATTGCTTGACCCGGGCAGACAGTCTGAAGCGTTGGACATGCTAGATCTGGTGCCTTGCTTTCACTGCCATTCTAGCAATATCCTCAGCACTGGAGGATCCCAGAGATCAAAACTCAGATGCTGCCAGAGGACTAAAAAGTTTGGGAAGGGCGTCAGTGGCTGTCACTGGGACAGCACCCCCTCGAGGTCAACACAGTGGAAAGGAGCATTTTACTTTTGAACATGTAGGTAAGATTCTTCCTACCCTTGTGAAGAAGATGAGAACTCCAGGACCAAGATGTACACACAAACACATGAACTAAGAGAGCATCATTTTCACATCCATGTTAACGATTTTGGCAGTAGCTCTTGTGCTTGCTACAAAATTGTTAACTTAGGTCCCAGAAAGAAAGGTCACATTCTCTGCTGCCACAGATCCAGATCCCATTCACACACATCCGTAAAATACACCATACACACTTTAACACCACATTGTACATTATCTTCTAGCAACAACTTTAAATAAAATAACAGATTTGGCTGAGACCATGCTTGAGTGTTTGTGTTCAGATGCCGATGCTTGACTACAAGTTGTTATATCTGTCTGTGCCTGTCCATGCTCTACAACGAACTGCTTGGTATCATCTTTAATTATACCACGTTGCCTTTTCTGTGGCGGTTGTGGATTCCAAATCTCATACAGGGTGTAAAATAGATGACGTCCTGGTCTACATAACAAGTGAAGCTTTTTTACAACATTTGCTTCTGAAGTTAGAAAATATAAGAGAAAAAAAAAGCCCCAAGAATAAAAAGGTCTTGGAAGAGTGCAAGTGAGTATTGGTCAGATTTCCTTATGCTTTAGAGAAGAAACAAACAAAACCTGAGCATTGTTTTTCTCACTCTCTCCCATGTGAAACCGAAAAAATGGAGACCCAAGACCTGGAAGTGCTTGACTGCTCAAGTGCAACACCTTACACTAGGAGCCATGGCTGCTGAGCTCAGGAGCAGGAACAGCAAACACAGGCATTCCCAGCTCCCTCCTTGGCTCCCTTCACAGTGTTACCTCACAGAAGTCAAAGACTCGGATTCATCTTCCCACTCCATAAATTTGGGATAATAATATTTGCTTATCTCCCAAAACAATTACAAAGCTACTTTTAGAAACTACAGTGGCTTAGGACAAGAGGGAAATTAATTCCCTCTTATGCCCTAGGTTTAGATGGTTTCCCATCCACAAAGCATACGCCCTGTGTCTGATAATTAAGGTAAAACTATAACGAGCAGCTGCATAACACTTTAATCACCACCCATCTTGTAGGTCGAAATGGGAAGGAAGAGCAGCCAGACCCACCCCAACACCTACACACGAGGCCAAGAGCTAAGCTCACAACCTTGCTCCTCACATCTTCCACTGCTGGGGACTCGATCCCTTGCCACATGCAACTCCATACACCACAGCAGCCTCCACCACCTCTGTCACACCGTTTTCGTCCTCGGAAATTAAAAGTTACATTCACTGAGCAACGAGGAGCCATGCCTATAAATGGGCTCGGCGTGAGGCGTTCACCCTCGATACCAGCTCAACCAGTTTGCTGCCCGGGTTGGCCGACCAGCACAGGCAGGCCCAGGCACCGCTGAAAATGAGGTTTATAAATCGCTCGCTCCCCGCTCTCCACTCCGAGGCAAACCCAAGCTGCCGCGCGCCCCGGGGCACCGCCGGCGGTGGGGGAAATCGCGGCGGCACACACGGCTGCCGGGCGAGCCCAACCCGCCACACAAAAGCCACCTCATGGCAAATACCTCTCGCACCACTGAGCCGACACCGGGGGGAAGGGGCACGCCTGGGGCCTCGGGCCAGACCTTCCGCGTCCCCCGCAGAGCCACCATCCGCCGACTGCCCGCTGCTCCAGCACTCCCGCGACTCCCCCCGAGAAAAACCCGCCTCATCCCCCCCGAGGGGCCGGCCCCCCTTCCTGCCCAACAGTGACCCTGTGCCCAGCCCGAGATGGCGGCCGGACCCTTCCTCCGCCGCCGCCGGCCCAGCGCCCTGCCGGCCAGCACCTGCGAGGCGTGCGGAGGAGTGACCCTCGCCGGCTCCGTCAGCCCCAGCCCGAAAAGGGAAGGGACGGGACAGCGCAGGAGATAGCTGAGGGAGAAAAGAAGGGAGAGAGGCGGGCGGACGAACCACCGCCCTCCGGCACCTTGCGGGGCCACAGACTTATCCCCTTACCTGTCGCCCGCGGGTAGCTGCGCGCAGCCCCCGGCTCCGCCATCTTCGTCTGCCGGTGGCCACCGCCGCCGCCGCCTCCTGCTGCCGCCGCTCCGGTCCGCGGCGCCCAGTGGCCGCCGCACAGGCGCACTGCCCACCCCGCGGCACCTGACACGGCGCGGCAGGCGAGCGGAGAGAAACGGGGCCGGGCACGGTAGCCGACGACAGGCTGATGCCGCTCGGCGGCAGCTTCTTACCCGGTGCTGCCTGCGCTGGGTGGGAGCGGCTCCCGCAGCGCCAGGTGCTGCCGCTGCCCCGCCCCGGCGGTCGTTACTCGGTGGAGCCGAGCTTCACGCCGGTCCCTGCAGCACCTCGGCCGGCGGAACGGAGAGAGCCGGGTTTGGCTGCAGGGACCGCCGGGGTGTCAACTCGTGTCGGGAGGCTGTGCCCCTTAGGCGGGGCAGCGCGGCCGAAGCTGTGCGTTAGTGAGCAGGCACATTTAATTGGTTTATCTCGGAGAGCCAAGACACATGCCCCCAGCTTCCCTGGAGGTCCTGCCGATTTTTCCAGATTTTTCCATCCAGGAGGCTGTATGTGCTGTTTGCAGCTATGTGCCACCTCGGCTGGAGTGATGGCACTGGAGAAAGGCAGGAGCATGCCTTCCTGGTCCAGCTGCTGCTAGAGGTTCCATCCCAAGGTCGTGCCCTTCGGGCTGGGCTTGGCCGCCATTTTGCACTCAGTTTTAGAAAACAAAGAGACACACGCTTTTTTTCTATTGAGCATTTATATGCTAGTGGTCAAAGAAAAACCCCAAACAAACTACTGAGAAGTTGAACACACAACTTGCCTATTTGTTGTCCTTCCGCCTTCCAGTTTCTGCTGCTTCTTGGCCATGTGGGAACAGTTGCAGTGCCTCGGGGACACACAAGGACCTTGGGCATGGGGCAGCTCCTGCTTCACTGTCTTGAGGCATCACCAGAACTTGTCCTAGGTGCCAAACACCTTCTTGCCTCCTCTGCAATGCCAGTTTACCAAAATTGAAATTTAAGACATATTTAATACTCCCACTTTCCATTCTTAGTCCTTCTGTTATTTTTGTCTAGTAATTATATCATTTTTTTACCTGAAAATAGAGATCATGGTCAATATAAGGGGGTAGATGAAGAAAGTAGTTTCTGCTCAGGTTTTTTTTGGAAAGCGTTTTCTTTGGTGTGCCCAAATAAGAAGAACGTGAGGGAGTCCAGGGGAGGGCCACAAAGATGATCAGAGGGCTGGAGCATGTCTCCTATGAAGGCAGGCTGAGAGGGTTGGGATTGTTCAGCCTGGAGAAGAGAAGGCTCTGGGGAGACCTTAGGACAGCTTCCAGTACGTTAAGGGAGCTACAAGGAATATGGAGAGGGGCTGTTTAGGAGGGCTTGTAGTGATCAAACAAGGGTGAACGGCTTTAAACTAGAAGAGGATAGGTTTGGATTTGGAAGAAATTCTTCCCTGTGAGGGTTGTGAGGCACTGGCACAAGTTGCCCAGAGAAGTTGTGACTGCCCCATCCCTGGCAGTGTTCAAGGCCAGGTTGATGGGGCTTTGAGCAACCTGATCCAGTGGAAGGTGTCCCCGGCCATGGCAGGGGGGCTGGAACTGGACAATCTTAAAGTCCTTTCCAACCCAAACTATTCTATGATTCTGTGATTTTATAATGGGTCTCCCAGTAAGTTGCTATTTCTTATTAAGTGCAAATTATTCCACTGGAGCACTGGTCAACAATTTATCTTCCATCTGTACATTCAAGTGGTGTCCTCATGTTGGAGTTCACACATCCCAATAAAAGTTTAACTAGACATACTTAGTTTTTCTTGGTGTATATGGTAACAGTTTTTCCTAACCTTGCTTTAGCATTGCAAGACTTCCTTTTCATTGTTTATAACTGTGCCACTTGTAAAAGTGTCAATTGACATTTTCATGCCAGCTGTTTGTCAGGCTAAACTTCTGTCAAGGGGCTCTGCTTAAAATTATTCTACCTGCATAAATATGAAATTGTACTGCTTTGCTCATGTTACAGAAGAAGAATCCTACCTGTCTTACTGTAGCTGTGCCTCATGATTTCCAGGGGCTCCTTTGGCAACAAAACCAAAAGAAGGATGACTCTCCTGTAATCTTAGTTCTCCAGCCTATTGGTGCCTCACAAACATGCAGGAAAGAACAGCTGGTTTCAGTGCAAGTTACATGGTCTTAATTCTGAGGGAACAGGAACAAAGAAGATGAGATTCCAGGACTGGGAATTAGGAAAGCAGGGAACGGGTGTGAGGGTACTAAGGAACAGGAAAAGGTGGAGGAGTATAGCCAGAAGCTGGAGAAGGAAGTATGAGGGTCTTAGCAAGGAGGATATGTGGGCAGGAGGCAGTGTTTGGATGGAGAAGGACTAATAGGACCACAGGAGAACCTGCCTTGGGGAATGTGAGCCTACTAGTGCTGGCTCTCAAGTGGTCGTGAACCCTATGAGCACAGTGTGTCACATGGAGAAATAAGTAGTCTCCTACAACTGTAATCTCCTTTGATAGCTGGCTGTCAGCCTCATCGGTATTCAGCCTGGTAGTCACACAGTGAAAAAGATTTTAAAGGAAACATAATAAAACTATATGGAAAACATTAAAGCTCCAAAGACAAAACCTTCCCTGGAATATTGTGTGTAGTATGTGATATGAGTCAGTTTTTAAATTACCTTTGCAGTGTGTTTTTTTCCACAAGGCTCCTGCTCAATGCAAAGGATGTTTTTAATTAATATACAGTTCTTCAATGTTTGTCCTCATTTTCATGATGTGAAGTGGAACCTTTCATGTCATATTCACTGTATATTCTTCAAACCCTGCCTTGAAGGCAGGTTAATTAATTTCCATGATGTCTTTACTGTGGTACTCTTACAATTATTTCAAGCATTATAAATGTAACTTTATAACACCTTTCTAAGTTGAAGTAGTACTATTATCATATTTTACACACAGGGAAAAACTAATAGAAGGTACTGTATCTGCAGTTGTTTGTAATTGTTAATTCTTTTACATTGTGGAGCTTGTCAAATTGTTTTAAAGCAGGGAATACTGGATTTAATACAGTTTGCACCTACCAGCATCTAAGAAACAAGACCATAACTGTTCTTGTTCAGGTTAGACTTTAAATACTTTAAGGGTCTTTAAGCACTAGGTGTAGTGGGTCACTTACAGTCTACAAAGCTTTGGTATGCACTTACACCTGTGTAAGTGCATAGTAGCTCCAGGAGTCGGGAGCTAGTTTCAGACATACCTGTGTACCCTTCTTTATGACAGATAGAGGAACTCTGGGGAATATTTTAATCTTCAATGTTTAAAAAGGAAGTTATGAACTGTTTGATTGTGCCCATACTTCACAGAACAAAATTATCTTCTTGACCATAGTAGCTAAAGGAGCTTTTCCAGTGGTGATGGGACTACAGCCAGTGCCTGCATGCTCAGTGTTGGAGATGTCACCATGTCCTTCTACAACTCTCTACCCCTGCCTTGCTCTACTGTCCCTTCATATCACACTAAAGGAAACCGTCCTAGAGGCAGCATGTCACCAGGAGCAATATGAGGCTCTGCTTTCAGTGGTAGAGGAAGGAACACATAACCTGACAGCCCTACAGCCTTGGGGAGCTGAGGCACGGGTCTGAGAAGTTTCTTCTTACCGCCGGGACCAGGAGCATGAATTATCACAGCACTGCCTGTGAGGACAGGTCGATGGGAAGGTGGAGGCTGTCTGTGTGCTGGGCTGCAGCCAGCCTCTTATCATCAGCTGTCTGGCATGAATTGTAAGGCAGTACAGGAATTCTCCCAAGCACAACTTCATCTCCCAAACACAACGTCGCACGGAGCCCTCTGATTGGGAAGGTGTTTTATTGACGATACTTAGGTCATTCTGCTTTATTTATCTGATGCCTAGTTTGTCCTTCTGTTGAATGGAACTCTGATAATAGTTGTTCCAGATTGTTGTATTTTAAAGCATTTTTCTTTCTTTCATAGTGTGTTGTGCACTGTTAAAATCAATACTACTTTGGGTTTCTTTTGTGGAAAACAGTTTTCTTCTCTTACCATGCATTTTCTGCAGGTACTGTATTTAAATAGGTTTGTGCAAATATTCATACATGAGCTACAGTAGGTGTTGATCCACCTAAGTCTGGGAAAATCTCAGGTGAATCTGCAGAGAGATGAAGTCAGTTAAGGATGCAGACAGAAGGAAGCTGGAGGGACTCTTAGTTTTGCCACCTTATAGACATTAAAAGTTGGCAAAAATGTACAACTATTTTGAAAATCTTGGCTTCTTTTTTCAGTGTTTTTTGTGTCGTCTTGTAGTTTTACCTATACAACCAAAGCCTGTCCCTAGAAATCTATCCTTAGAGATGCTTCCGAGGGAGACAGAACAGTGAGCCTTGAGCAAACTGGCCCAATCTGTGATGGTCCACAGTTTCAGCTCTATTTTGTCATTTTGAACCAACAGCCAACAAGTTGAGAATCCAAAAAAGTGAGGCAAACAAAACGGCTGCCTGTGCTATTTCAGTTAAAGTGATTGGCCCAGTGTCACGTAACCACTGCATGTCAAAGATGTGAAATCCATTTCTCTCAGGCGATATTTATCTGCTTTAAGTTCAAAATCAGCCTTCCTGGAACCTTAAAACTCCTAGAGATCTAGTGACTTGTAACTTATGAATGAAATTGAGTGCTTGAAATCAAGTGCTTGCACTGCTGTATTTTCACAGACAATACACATTTGTCTGAAGAGAAATACTCCTCTTCATCATGTAACTTTGTGTCCAAGAAAAACAACATGACTCAGAAGTTAAAAAGGGTGTTTTAACACGTATATCAGAAACAGAAAAAAAAGGTTGTGGGTATGACTAATTATAGTTATTCGTGATTGTTGAAGTATTAACTCATCACCTTAAGCATTCTTCTAAAATAGATCATAAATCATAATCATACTTAGAGAGCTATTGAGAAAGTAGGTTTGCAGATGACAGAAATGCTCATGGACCAGTTGGCTGATAAGAAATCTTCCTCATGAGGGATCAGTCTCACACAAAAAGTTCATGGGCACTGAGTCAATAAACTGAGGCACACTATGGTAACTGAGAATATAAAATGTGTTATGACATCCAGATATCAACAGCAAAATGGTGCTCTGTTTCAAAACCACAGTTTTGAAATCAAAAGTCATGGTTGTATTTCTAAGGGAATTATACCTTTTGGTCATGAATTTGACTGGTGAAATGGCTTTGATTTCTGTTTGTCTCTCACTGTCTGAAAACCCACGGGCAGAATATCCACAGGAATTAAGATACCTTTTTAAGTTCCCTTGATTGAAGAGCAGGACCAGTGTGTAGCTAGCTCAGTCTGGCAAAGCTTAAACTGCATCTGTTTGGGTACATTTATTTTTGGGTACTTACATAGCTAAGAAGTGTCATTCAGTGAATAATACCAGCCTAATGTTAAAATAACTTTTTGGATGAATCATAATGGATTGCTTTTGTATTTGTCATTTAGCATGCAAAAATTGTATTAGTTGTTCTCCATTTGAAAATATACATTAAAACCCACCTACATTGTTAAATCAGACATCTTCTACCCCACTGTCCTGTGCCATGTATTATTTTTTATACTCACAGAATGCCTTTAACTAGGATCATACTCTCACTTGCCTTATGCATTCATGTTATCTTCTGAAGTTCAGCTGGAGCTACTTGATTTAGAACTAATGGGGTCAATCTTCACAAAAATAAGTTAAAACAGAGAAAGAGAGGAGCTTTCTCATCACCTTGTCCTTTGTTTTTTACTGCCAGCACAGTCATTTGAAGTCATGTACAAACAGCCCTGCCTACACACCCTGCTTTGCTGAGCACGGCAATGGAATAAACAGTAGTTGAATGCCCCACAAACCTATTTCACACCTGATTTAAGCTGAATATTTTTGTTCACCAGTGTTTCATTTATAAGGTTGATGCATATTTTTTTCTCCCGTTCTCCCAGAAATAAGGCCTTCCTTATTTACTACCAAATACCTTCTATTCCAGATTCAAAACTTTGTAAGTCGTGAATCTTAAGAGCTTTCTTACTAAATTATTTTCAGATTTGTGGCTAGGTATCATTGGGAGATATGAACAAGTTAGATTTTGATGAGTTTTGGATTGCTTTTGATTCTGGGATTAAACTAAAGGTTCTTTACTGCAGTATTAGGCAAAGAAAAGGCAAAAGCTCTGTTAGCTTTTCATGCTTTAACAGGATGTGACACAGTCTTAGCATTTGCTGTGAGAGGCAGAAGACAAGTCTTGCTTAGGAAGGAAAGAATGTCTGCCCTGCAGCCATAGAAACTTTTCTCCATTTTTCTTCACCACCTGCTGAAGTGATTGATATTTGCCTGAAGGATTTGCAGTTATCTGCAGTATTTTTAACTGCACCAGTGTACTTTGCCAGGAAGAGGAGCAATCTTTCCCCAGCGGTACATCATCTATTCATATAGGGACAATTATGTTGTATTCATATATGATAGAAACATGGACAGGAACATACCTACATCAGATTGATAATAAGCTGTTCTCAAGGTTATGGAATATCAAATCCTAAGATATTTCTACCCTGATTGAATGCCTAAAATAGCATCAAACTAATTAAGTTTAGTTATCATTGAATAATAATTGTACTGCATCAGATGGCAGTCAGTAGAGAATTATTTTTTACCTTTTTTGGTTAAACTAGCATCATGTGTATAATAAATCGAGTCACATTGAAGGGAAGTCTGACTATGCTGAGGATGCAAAACCTCTTGGAACATACAGACCGCGTAGGACCAAGAAGCCATGTGGTCTTGATGCTACATAAATTTATGACATGTACAGAGGACTGTGCCTCACGCTTAGAGTGAGACCACTGGCATGCTCTCTGTGCACCCTTGTCTGTATGCCTGGTAAGTCTAATGCCTCAGCCTTTCTGAACACTGTCCATAAGATAACTCTGGGAGGGACTTGACAATTTGAGAAGTCAGTGTGCTTTAGGTCTGCTTTCACAACTGAACTTTTAAAATTATTTTTTTAAGTCATAAACAGTAATTCATGACAGAAACAGATGTCACTTAAGAATATACTTAATACCTGCCCTGCATAGGAAAATAGAAGTTGAATTCTGATTGCTTTTATTGAAGAAGAGAGAAGGAACATTGCAAAAGATGAGGAAGTTTATTTACTTTCATAATCAATTTTCATTCTTCCTTAACTTCCACAGACTGTGGTAGTTATTCATGCGTGTGACTTGGCGCACTCAAGCATAGAGAATGCGATGTTGGTCACAGTGATTCTGTGGTTGCTTCAAAGCAAGATAAATCAAGCTGTGCCTGTAGATACCTACAGTCTAAAGGTCTCTTGGTTATTAAAATGAGACCAATAATTTTGAAGCAATTAATGTTTGAAAAATGGCTGAGCTGAGCCTCAAATCAATGAGTATAAAATGTTACACCGAACATTTTAACACAAAACGAGAAGGTCGACTGACAAAACTTGTTCATCAAGGACGAAATGGATCTTCAGGCTGAGCTCCACTGACTTCAACACAGCTACAACAAATTACAGTCTGCCTCTGAACAGAAAAGAATATTTCTTTATATAATGTATAAACTTTCAAAAAAGAAATCTTAAATATATGTGCTAAGAAGAAAATATAACTTTATAAAAGTCTCACAGAGATATAGATAGTTGTCATACATTTCAAAACTTGAGTAAGCATCAGATATTAATCAAACATTAACTTACCTTAATTTCATAGGTTAAAGGTCATTCCCATGTATGATTACGGATCAATTTTCTTCCTCCCTGCCAGTCCAGCAATTCATGGAACGAGCTGCTTCCTGTAAATTTGAATTTTACAGGAATTATAACTAAGCAAACACAGTGAATGCATTTTGTAAATGTTTACAAACCTCTGCAGCCAACATAAGAGGACCAAAATACAAAATAAAATAATCTGGTAATTGCTAATGAGTTACTAAAAATAGCCATGACAGACTCTGTGGCAATAATATGAAGGATGGTACCAAATGCTTAATGCTGGTTTTGCAGTCATTTACTGTGTGAGTGGAATCTCTCGCTTTGAAAATTAGTCTCCCTACCCCTCTCTACCTCTGACCACCAAAACCCAGGTCTAATTACATCTAGTATGCATTTTGTAATATCCTTTTTTTTATTTCTACTGTAGGTCAGAACATTCAAAGTTTGCTTTTAAATGAATTTGTGATATTTATGAGAGAAGTTATTTACTCTGTCTTCAGGCTCAATTTGAAGATACAACCTGATGCAACTAACCCAACTAGTTGGAAAACAAAGTAAGATGGCTGACCCAGCATTTTTATTCAGAGAGAATTCTGACATTTCAGAATTTCTTTTCATTTCAAATCAAAGTAATGGAAATTACTTGTAGTTAAAAATTTTTAAGGATTCTGCATTTTTTCTCCTAGCCATATGACTCTTGCATGTCTTGTTACCACAGTGTAGTGATCCATCAGCACATCTAGAAACAGGTAGGTCTTCCAATCTGGGGACTTAAATTTTCCATATTTATAGATACTAATGGTGCTTCTCTTCTTTTCTAAATGACATGACAGAGATCTAAATCCATGTCCAAATCCAGCCTTAGGCTCTTTTGGATACTGCAGGCTCTCTTCATTAGGGACTGTAGTGATAGGACAAGGGATAATGGGTTAAAACTTAAACAGAGGAAGTTTAGATTGGATATAAGGAAGAAGTTCTTTACTGTAAGGGTGGTGAGGCACTGGAATGGGCTGCCCAGGGAAGTTTTGAATGCTCCATCCCTGAAGTGTTCCAGGCCAGGTTGGACAGAGCCTTGGCTGTCATGGTTTAGTGTGAGGTGTCCCTGCCCATGGCAGGGGGGTTGGAACTTGATGATCTTAAGGTCCTTTCCAACCCTAACTATTCTATGATTCTATGATTCTCTGATACTTCAGTACAATATTTTTTCTACCTTCCTCTAAAGAATTTTAACTCAAACATGATCCACGCTATACATACCATCCCTTTTTCTGAAGTCATTAATGCGTAATGCTATTTCACCATCTTTATTTTTCTCTTCTGTCTTTCCTAAATTATCCATATACTTCTATCCTGATGTTCCAGCCACAACTGCTAATCCTCCACAGGTCTCTCTACTAGCTAGTTTTACATTCTTACTGAATTGTTATGGATCCTCTATTTCGTTGTACTAGTGTAATAGATTCATACTGGCCATCACAAGAGGCTAATTTTTAGCCAGTATTTTCCCACTCTGTATTAGCCAGCAAGTGCTCTTATCAGTAGTGGCACTTTCATTCCTCTGATCTGCTGATATTTCTTTTTCACTGCATTATGCTCATACAGATTAAATGAGTCTTTTCCAGCTTTGTTCCCTACTTCTAAATTTAAGATCTTATCAATCAAATTAACCTTAATCCAAGTCCTTAATTCAAACTAGTGTATAATCCTCTTCCAGAAAATGCTTCCCAGCGGCAGACCAACCCTAAACCTTCCTACAGGGTAATTAGTTGTTTTTCACTGTCTAGTTACATTTTTCTTCTCAGTCTTTAAAAATCAGAAGAATTCCATTCCATTTTTATTGGTATTTGTATTAATCACAATTAACTGGGCTGCAGTTTCAGACATCTTTTCCATGTCTTCTTACTAGCAGACAATTGCTTCAGCAGTTGGAGCAATTTTTCCATGTTCATTCATGAGCCTTGACCTACTGGGGCAGAGGCGTGCAGGAGTCAGAAAGACCATCTCCTACGTGGTTTAGATTAGCCAAACTAAATAAAATTATTTCAACATCTTAAGCAAACCACTACCACTTGACACCCCCCCCCCCCCAAAGCAGTGTTAGGTACTTAGTGTCAAAATCAGGAACGCCAAAGCCCTGGTTGGAGCAAGACAGATTCTGTAAGAATGCTAATTGGAAAAGCAAGTTCAAGGAAAATGAGTTTCTGGTGATGAAAGTCCTTAGTGCCAACAGGTGTCATTGCAAAAGCTGGTGAACTCTGCCTTTCTTCTGCCCCTGTCTTCACAATCAATGCCAACTCCCAGACTCTACGGGCACAGTTGGGGAAGGAACTGGGCAGGCAGCAGTGGAGGAGCAACAGGTTAGAGAAACTGGATGTATTCTAATCCATTGGGCTGGATGGGAATAAGCCCAAGCTAATGGAGAACCTGGTGCGCTTGAGTGTGAGGTTACTATCTATCTTTAAAGAAGGCATGAAGGGGGACTTGGTAAACTATATGCCAGTCAGTTTCACCTCAGTCAGTGGAAAGATCAGGGAGCACATAATCAGCAGCAGTCTGCCCAGGAAGACAAATTGTGTTTGACCTGCTTGATTCCCTGCTATGATAACATGAGTGGCTCTGTGGGCAAGGATAGAGCGATGGGTGTAATATACCTTGACCTGAATATAGCTTTTGACACCACCTTCCCCAGCCTTCCTCTCTGGAAACAGCAGAAGTATGGACTGGACAAACGGACTGTTTAGGTGGCTTGAATACTGGCAGTAAGGGTAGCAGTCCATAATTCAACGTTTTGTTGGTAAGCTAGGGTCAGTGTTGGCACCCTTATCCAGTGCCTTCATTAACAACCTGACTGCAATGCAGAGCTTGTTCTAAGCAGATCTACACATGATTCTAAGTTAGGGCAAGTGGCTGCTGGTTTAACCCCAAAGAACCCTGAAAATCTTAAGGACTGGATGGAGATGTCATGATCCTTATGAAGTTCTGCACCTGGGACAGCTGGAATAACCCGATATTTGGGTATAGGCTGGGAAGTGGCTGAATAGGTCATAGTCCTGTGGGTTACAGTGCACACTGGGCTGAATGTGAACCTGTGGCTTGCCTTTCTGAAAGAAGGTATGTCCTGAGTTACATTTTAAGTGTGGCTAGCACATCAAGGGAAATTTGCTGAAAATCTCTGCTTGGTACTGGTGAAACTGTACCTGATATAACTGAAATAGTGTTTAGTTTTGGATACCTGTGCTCCAGAGAGACATGGCGAAATTCAGTGGAGGGTAAATAAGAACTATTGAAGAGGGGCTGAAGGAGTTGGATTTACTTAGCCTGGTCAAAAAGAAGCTAACTGTAGTTAGCAGCTACAACTTTTTGAAGGATTATTAACAAAAGTGACAGAACCAAACTCTTCCTGCTACTGCAGGTCTAACAGAGCAATTGCCTCAGTTTACAACTTGGGAGGTTCAGACTGGGTATCGGAAAATAAAATGACCAAGAAGGCAGCTGGGTACTAGAATAGGTTGTCCAGAGGGGTGGAGGAATCTCTGTCACTGGGGCTTTTCAAGACTTGGGCAAAACCAGGAGTGACATTATCTAGTTGTGAGATGGTCCAACTAACAGGCAACCTTCAGAGAAGACTTCCAACCAATATTTTTATTCTCTTGCAGCAGGTCTTACAACATCTTATTAATAAAGCCCTATTATTAAAATAATCTATTGATTAACTTGTTTGTTTTCATGAGTGGTGGCAGAAGATTGTCACCTAGCCTGTTTGAAGAGAGAAGATTCAACAGATGGGAAACACATTGGTGAGTTGCATTGCATAAGTGAGACAACACCTCTCATCATCCCACTTTATGGAAATAGAACTATAGCAAGAGATTTCAGCTAAGGAAAGGCATGCAAGTCACACTTCTGCTCCACATACCTCTTTCCCTTCCCCTGACACCCATTCACTTTTCCATCTGAGTTGACTTAGGTCTCTACCACTTTAAAATCTGAATCTAAACTCAGTTGTTCCTTCTGCCTTGTCTGAAACAAAGAGGATGGGATGCACCTAACCTACCTACACGTGCTGAAAAAACAGATGTTTTGGGTTATAGTGTATAAATCTTTAGCAAAGAAATCTGAAATACATATGCTAAAAAGATAAAATAATGTAATTTTACAGAAGTTTGAGGGAGATATAGTTAGTTGTACATTTCAAAACTTGAGTAAACATGTGATGTTAGTCAAACATTAACTTACCTTAATTCCAAAGGTTAAAGATCACTGTCATGTACAACTGAGGATCAGTTTTCTTCCTCCCTGCAAATCCTGAAATTCATGGAACATGCTGCCTCCTGTAGATTTGAATTACACAAGTTATAACATCATAGAGATGGCTGATGTCATTGTGAGGCCACTCTTGCTAATCTCTGAAGGGTGATGATGATCAGGGGAGGTTCCTAGGGACTGGAATAAGAGCAAATGCCACTGCTCTCTTCAGGAAGGGCAAAAAGGAAGAACCAAGAATCTATAGGGCAGGAAGCCTCACCTCCCTGGGAAGGATTTCCAAACTTGTTAAGAAGGTGTTGGGGAGTAGTCAGCATTGATTTACAAGGAGGAGATTATGCCTCCCCTACGATGAGATAATATGGGTGTCTTGGTGAAGGAAGGGAGAGTAGTGGATATTATTTATGTTGACTTGAGCAAGGCTTTCAACACTGTCTTCCGTAGCATCTTCAGACAAACTGATGGACTAGATAAATGGACAGTGAGGTGAACTGAAAACTAACTGAACTGCCAGGCTTAAAGGGTTGTGATCAGTGGCATGAGGTCAAGCTGGAGGCCAGCCACTAGTAGTGTACCCCAGGAGTCAATACTCCTCAACATCTTCATTATCAATGATGTAGATGATGAAAGAGACAGAATGCACCCTCAGCAAGTTTGCAAATGACACAAAACTGGGAGGAGCAGGTAGTACATCAAATGGGCGCACTCCATTCTGAGGGACATCAGCAGGCTGGGGAAATAGGTCAACAGAAATGAAAGTGCCAAGTCCTGCCTCTGGGGAGAAATAGCAAGTACTTGTGAGTGTATGGAAACACTGTAACTGACCTCCCATTTATTTTTGAATGAAGTAACAGAAGTCTCCTTTTACCTGCCCTTCTGCCTTGTCCTTTTCTTCAGGGCTGCTCTCAATCCTGTCATCAGCCAGCTTGCATTTGTGCTTGGGATTGCCCCAGCACATGTGCAGGACCTTGCACCTGGTGTTGTTGAACCTTATGAAATTCACACTGGCTCACTTCTCAAGCTTGTCCAGGTTGCTCTTGATGTCATCCCATCCCTCAGGCACATCAGCCACACCACTTAGCTTGGTGTTGTTTGCAGACTTGCTGAGGGTGCACTCAATTCCACTGTCTGTCATTGATGAAGATATTAAACACCACTGGTCCTAGTATGAATCCCTGAGGGACACCACTTGTCAGCAATCTCCATCTGGACATTGAACATTGACCACTACCCTCTGGATAGTGACCACCCAGCCAATTCCTTATCCACCGATCAGTCCATCTACCACATCCAGATGGAAGGAAGTTTAAAATAGGGCTTGAATAGACAGGTTCTCAGCAATAACAACAATGAAATTATTCCAGGAGTTGCACTTATTTCCTCAGCAAACACTTCCCTAGAAGAAACGCTGCAAGCTAATGAAGTAAAAAGATGAAGAAATGATCCTGCAGCATGAATACTCAGACTGGTCATAGGCTTAGGAAAATACTTCATTTAAACATGAACTTAAAAATAATTTCAGAGCCTCACAGCTCTTCTGTGACTTCTGAAGGTCTTTCTGGTGTGAGAAGTACGTCTTACCCTCCAGACTAACATTTACTTTTCTCAGCTGGGATTCAGGAGGTATAAATCAGACCTTTGAATCAGCTCTAAGTTAACAAATTAAAACCACTGAAATAATAGATAAAAACCTTTCCGTAATTATCCTATGCAGCCAGTTCTTTTTGGCAACCATATAGTTCTGACAGAAAACACCCCCCCCCAAACTCAGTAGATTGAACGTTGGAGACTCAATGCTGAATAAATCTTAGGAGGATAGCCTAAAGCCTTAGCTTGAATTTAACAAAAGTCCCAATCTAAAGTCAAGACATAAGTACATATAAAATCTGTCATCTTGTGGAGAATTCTTTATCTGGTTCAGAAGCCTGCAGTGACAACCTGAATCTCACTTATCCTCCCAACTCAATTCAATGGTTATTAAGAAAACTAAAACCCCACATAGTTAAAAAAATAATTTCTAAACTAATTCACAGGGAGTCCATAAAACATGAGGATGATCCCCCCCCCCCAAGGGTTTTCAGATCTACAGATCTGTGGTTATGACAAGAACCAGTATCATGGTCCCTGGTGCAGTTTTCACTAGAAATACAGGCACATCTGATTGCATTGAGGATAAAAGCTAGGTGGGTGGGGGGGTGGGGGTGCGGGTGTAGAAAAAGTGAACCTCTAAATTTTTATGCAATTTCCCAATTGTATTTTTTCATTTTATACAAGTCCTCTGCTGAGACAGAGTCACTCAATTACCTTCTCTAACAGGGCAACGAGTCAGGAATTCTCAGATTCTTGGAGTCAAGTTCAAGTCTTGTGATACAGATCAAGTGCTCCAATGGCTCAGCAGTGAACAAAAATACTATACCAGATAGTTTGTTCAGACTGCAGGGAAGAACACCGTGGTGTTGAGACCAGGGCTAAAGTACCGTGGCCACTCTCGGGCTCCCCAGCGTGAGAAAATGAGCAAGTCCAGCAGATGGCTAACAAGCCTGCTGAAAGGACTGGAGTACAATATACTGAGGAGAGGCTCAGAGATCTAGAAAAGAATGATGAGGGGAGATACTTGTCCTGTCTGCAACTATGCATTTGGGGTGGAGGAGAAGAGAGCCAGACTCTTCTTAGTTCTCTCCTCATCTGTGAGACAAGCAAGAGGCAATGGACACAGCTCAGAACACAGAAGATTCCAAAGCCTGGAACAAGTTTCCCAGAGAGGCTGTGGAAATTCCATTCTTGAAAATATTTAAAAGGCAACAGTTCAAAACTGTGAGCAACCTGCTCTAAGTGGACCTGCCTTGCACAGGAGGTTGGACTGGCAACCCCGGAGGTCCCTTCTAACCTATGTAATTCTGTGACTCTAACAATTAAAGCTGTGATTTCTTCAAAGTCTTCAGAGACTATACCAGCTTACAAGAGTCTTCATACCTCTAGCACTCTTCTCACCTCCCAGTGCATTTCTCCTGCAGCTTGGCTGACACTAGTGCAAACTGAACAGGGAAAGTGACCCAGCTTAAAAACATGTTTGGGAAGAGGAAAAATGAAGTTTTCTTAAGTAACCTAACTGCCTGGAGATGGTTCAGAACGTGCTGCACAAACTGTCCTATCAGTGCACTATGGCAGAGGTTCAAAATGAGCATTGACGAGGGAAGTACCTAAAGATCATTTCCCTGGAAATGTCTTGCCAATAATCGGTGTTAGAATTTTTACTATATCAGAAACTCTCATATTTTAATAAATATTTGCAGTCCTTTTTTGTGCCAGTTATACCAGCGCAATATTGTTCTGCCAACGCAACCATACGGAGATAGAGTAACACAAATAAACCAACTTCATGAAGTGGTCAATGCGAAAACCAGTACTAATAAACATGAACCTAGCTTTAGTACTATCAAGGGAATAATTTTCACAGAACTACTACGCTGGGGGAACCTCAGTTGAAAAGTCTCCTGTGCTACTGCTAATTCAGCTCAGCTCAACAGAAAACAAGGCTTCTGTGGCTTCCGATTTCTTGTTATTGTATAAAAGTACAACATAAGAACATCTGCTGAAGAAATCATATGGATATAGTACTGCAGCTATGTAAATTAGATGTGCTTATTATTGTTACCATGAAAAATATCAAAAACTATGTGGACAGGCAGGACCCCTTAATCTGAATCTCTGACTAATAAGCAAGATGTAATAGTCCTGATCTGCACTGGATGTAATTTTCTCCTCACATACCATGTTCTCCAGTGTGTTCTGAGGATCAGTGTAGACTCTCCAAATATTGTGAAAGTTTAAATTTCTCAGCACTCCAGTTTGGAGGAGCACTCTAGTTTGGGGAGTGCTCAGTGGTTTACACCTTTTCTCTTCAGGCACGCATGCATCATCTACCCAAGAAGCTTGAAATAGGGACTGGAGTACCCTTAGCCTTTACTGTACAGCTCAGCACAAAAAAGGAACCTACTCAAAACCTGCTGTCCAAGGACATATTCTCACTGTGCTACACGTAGATGGAATTATTTGAGCTGGAAACATTTTTGACCTACCAGTACTTTCCTATGGCAAACTACACAATAACCTACAAAATGGGAGGAACATGCTCCATCTTCTGGATGCATCTCATACACAAGTCTTACTGAAGGATTCAAAAGTAAATAGAAAGGAAGAAACTGCATTTAAAATAGCTTCCAGTTTTTAGCAAATGAGTTAACTTTTTGCTCCACATGATTGTCATGGGGTGAGTGCCTCTAACAGCTATATCCCCTACACCCTTACCTAGCCTCATGCAGCTGACAGGACATTACCTGATTGAAGAAGGGCTTGGGTATTAAGGAAGGAAACTATTAAGTGCTGTACTCTCCTCCTTTACCCCTTTTATTATTTTAATTTATTTAGAAAATGTCAATCTATGCAAGAAATCTGAAACAGTCATGCTGTCTTCTCAATATAAAGTTATTTGCTACTTGACACTTAAGCTGTTTCTTCTAAGTGCTTCCCTATGCCCTAAATCAGACACATCTTCAGTGGTTTTTTGATACTCCAACATCTACCTATATTACTATTGCTGGATTAACATAAGCTGTTTATAGCAACATATATTCAGCTACTGGTTATATTCTTTTCTTTTTCTTAGTTACCACGCATTATTTTCTGTATTATACTATACTAAATACTACAGTTAACTTGGACTTTTGTAGCCCTAAACAGTAGCATTACAGCAGTTTAGTTTAAAACATGTCATGAAGTCTGAAATTACTCTTCCTACCTTTGTAAGTCAAATGTACACCTACTAATATGATAGCATCAATTCAAACTGGGGAGAGGAGTGAAAAAGGAGGAGGCTGTTCAGGATTGCAGCACAATTAAATACAGAGGAGTGCTAGCTAACCTTGGCCTTTTCCACTTCCTTTTTAGCAAATATTTCATTAGTTGGTGTTATTATAACAAACAAAACACCAATATTTGTTCCATTTATGGGTGGCATGCTTACATTTTAGTGAAACACCACCTATGCTGTTGTACATTTCCAACACCTTGATGAAATTGATGCCCTGTTTTGGAAAGAGCTTTCTGCTCTGTTGTGGTTTAAGTCCAGCCAGCAACTAAGTACCCTGACCAAGGACTTTTCAGTCTCATGCTCTGCCAGGGAGGAGGGCCATGGGAAGCCAGGAGGAAGCAGAGACAGGACACCTGACCCAAACTAGCCAAAGAGGTATTCCGTACCACAGCACGTCATGCCCACTATATAAACTGGGGATAGTTACCCGCAAGGGTTAGATCACTGCTCGGGTCGGGCTGGGTATCTTGTGTTTTCTCCTTTGTTATTATTTTTTTTCTTTTCCCTATTATTAATAACAATTTTGTTACTGTAGTTACTATTTCTATTGTTACTATATTTTACTTAATTTAAATTATTGAACTGTTCTTATCTCAACCTTTGGGTTTTACCTTCGTCTGATTCTCCTCCTCATCCCACTGGGGAGTAGGGGGAGTGACCAAGCAGCTGCCTGAGTTGCTAGCTGGGCTTAAACCACATCATGCTTGCTTGCCAATACTCTGGTTAACTGGGTTACAAGTGGTATAAGCTGCTATTAAGGGGGTGGAGCTGACAACCACAGTGGGATACAGGGTGCCCATTACTTCTGACTCAGTGACTCAAGTGGAATACACTAAGACTGGACAACCACACCAATGGGTCTTAGGACATCTTTTAATATGTTTTCAGCTGAAAGGTCTGACAGAACCATCTGATATCTTTATGAATACTAAAATCAGTAGATGCACCCATACTTTTTTGAAAGTGGCTAGTGCCATTTAGGAACAAAGAATTGAATATTACAGTATCACAGTATCACAGTATGTTAGAGATTGGAAGGGACCTCAAAAGATCATCTAGTTCAATCCCCCTGCCGGAGCAGGAACACCTAGATAAGGTTACACAGGAACGTGTCCAGGCGGGTTTTGAATGTCTCCAAAGAAGGAGATTCCACAACCCCCCTGGGCAGCCTGTTCCAGTGTTCTGTCACCCTCACTGAGAAGAAGTTTCTTCTCAAGTTTAAGTGGAACCTCTTGTGTTCCAGTTTGAACCCATTGCCCCTTGTCCTATCATTGTTTGCCACTGAGAAGAGCCTGGCTCCATCCTCGTGACACTCCCCCTTTATATATTTATATACACTAATAAGGTCACCCCTCAATCTCCTCTTCTCCAAACTATAGAGACCCAGCTCCCTCAGTCTTTCCTCATAAGGGAGATGCTCCACTCCCTTAATCATCTTAGTTGCCCTGTGCTGGACTCTCTCCAGCAGGTCCCTGTCCTTCTTAAACTGAGGGGCCCAGAACTGGACACAATATTCCAGATGAGGTCTCACCAGGGCAGAGTAGAGGGGAAGGAGGACCTCTCTCGACCTACTAACCACCCCCCTTCTAATACACCCCAGGATGCCATTGGCCTTCTTGGCCACAAGGGCACAGTGTCGGCTCATGGTCACCCTGTCGTCCACCAGGACCCCCAGGTCCCTCTCCCCTACACTGCTCTCTAACAGGTCGTTCCCCAGCCTATACTGGAACCTGGGGTTGTTCCTGCCCAGATGCAGGACTCTACACTTTCCCTTGTTATATTTCATCAAGTTATTCCCCGCCCAGCTCTCCAGCCTGTCCAGGTCTCTCTGGATGGCAGCACAGCCTTCTGGCGTGTCGGCCACCCCTAATATTCCATTAAGTATTTCATAAGCCACAGGTTAACTGAGAATAAGATACTGCAGGTCCTTGTGATTAGACTACCAGCTGCAAGAGTCCAAATACTATTTCTCCATAGCTTAAGAAGCTATTTACCAAGTCTAGAGGAAACCTATCCCTACACACACTAACAACTGAACTGTGGCTTCTTCCTTTCCATTTCTACTCAGGCTCCTATGCTGCAGCCAGTTAGCAGCAGGGGACTGTGAGGTTGTATTGCTAGTCTGAAGATCCATCTCTATATTCCATCACACCCTGCACCACTATTTAGCACCGACTACTTCTGCCATTTTCAGCAAAACGGAGGATCTAGCTGTATATTGTTAACTTGCTTAAGACACCAAGGTTCCTATGACAGAGCTGTTGCAAGAGTCCCTCTGGTCAGCCACCTACTCCATCAGTT